CACACACACACACACACACACACACACACACACACACACACTCACACACACACACGCCGGAGGCTGAGCTGTGACTCAGACGTGACAACACGTTCTCACTTTTTTTCAATGGCCGTTTTCGGTGTCTTCGTGATCTCATGGCCCGCAGTTACCATGGGGATCCGTGAGTGCGTTGCCATGGTTACATGCTCTGCAGGCTGTACAGTACGTGGGCAAGAGAAACATCTCTCTTTTTTTTTCTTTTCCCCGCCCCTCCCTCCCTCCCTCCCTTCCTCCCTTCCTCCGTCTCTCTCTGTCTCAGGTTAAAAAATCTCCCGTTTAGCTTCACCAAGCTGAAAGACCTGGCAGCTCTGTGGCTCTCTGACAATCAGGTATCTCTCTTCTTCCTCCTACACCTTCCAGCAGACTGTAGCTGCCAGCTAATGTTCAGAAAAAACAAACAACTGCCGTCAACATTCAAATTAAAATACTGGGCTTGTTTAAAACACGTTTCAAAAAATACTTTTCTGATTGATTTCTATTCTCAGACTTTTATTTTGAAATGCTAAAAGCTACAGTTTCTCTCATTTGAAGCAGCTAATTATGTGAGTTACATGACAAAGGATGAAGTACGTGAGTTTATGACGTATTGAGAGCACCAAGTCTTTGAGGATACAAATATGCACACGTGAAATGGCATTAATTTTATAAAATCACTTCTTTTCTGTTTAATTAAGTTCATAGACCTGTTAGCTCTGTAATGATTGAGTTTAATTCAATCAAAGTTTATTATTCAGATGCATACGTGGCCCATAGTAAACAAAAAACAACAAAGTTTTTTTTTTAAAAATGTGTTAATTATGTTGTTAGAGTGGAATTATTTCACATTTATAAAAAGCTTAGTTTTCAGGTTCTGTTTGATTACAATTGTTAAAATAAAAAAATGCCATAAAAATTATGAGTTTTCATTAAGCTAACAAAGCAATAATCAAATATAAATCCTTACATTTAGATGTAAAATGACCACAAAAGCCTGGCAGGATATTTGTCACTGTCATTAAAAAAGACATTTTCCTAAACATTAATTTCTCAGAAAATGTAACCAGGTTTGTTAGTATTATTTTTCATTAAAAACTGCAATTTCATAAAATTTTCTCTTTATTGGAAAAGTACATGAACAATGGGAAACATATCTTTGAAACATAAATTTTCTTCAAAAACAACAACAAAATAAAAAATAATAAATTACAAATAACTGAATAAAAGAATAAAAAAATATAATAAACTAATAATATAAAAAATAAATAAATAAAGTTGAAGGGGGTCGTGCATGGTCCTGCAGAAATGGAAACGTAGGATGGTGAGAATGAGGCAGCGGAGTGCAAATTGAATCACTGACAAAAAACAAAGACGTTTAGTCCTGATCACTTATGTAATTAAATAAAGTCAGATTTGACAGGTTTCACATGTTTAGTCCATTTACTTCATATTGATTAAAATTTTTCAATTTGCACCTTGAGTGAGTAGGACAGTTTTAAAAGCTGCCATTTTTAATGCATTATCACACTGCACATTGCAATAATTTCAAATGATTTCTCATTAGCGTTTTGTATAGCAAAGATAGGCTCAATGTTCAGACTAAAGAACTGACAATTCATGTCAAACTTAAAATGAAACCTAAAACTTGTGATTCAAACTTAACCTAAATTAAAAAAAAATAAGTTTTTTTTATGTCAACAAAAGTACTTGTAAACTCTTTGTCACATGTTTTTTTTTTTGGGAGTAATGTTTTTTTGATAAGCAGTAATAATAAAAGTTATTGTGGTTTTGTGTTCGCAGTCCAAGGCTCTGATTCCACTGCAGACAGAGGCCCATCCAGAAACCAAACAGAAGGTTCTGACCAACTACATGTTTCCTCAACAGCCACGACATGATGAGGGTACATAGTGTGTGTGTGTGTGTGTGTGTGTGTGTGTGNGTGTGTGTGTGTGTGTGTGTGTGTGTGTGTGTGTTTGTTGTAGGGTTGGGCAAAATCCCATTGTGTGCAATTAATCGTCAGAAAAACTTTCACCGGTTCTTAATTGGCACTTATCCAAATAAAGGCTCGCCTGCTTCCTTGTCAGAGTCCTCACTTTGTCTCCGACTGTTTTTTTCCTCCATCTCTGCCTTTGAGCTTCCCTCCTCCTCCTCCTCCTCTCTCTGAAAAGGTTCCGACTGCGACTCGGCCCGTCTGTCCGCTGCTCCACGTTCAAATATTCCCTCATTGTTTTGACTCAGAAATGCTAAAACTGACTAAACTGAACACTAACCTACACCCTAACTATAAATAAAATCTCTGTCGCTCTATTGCTGCCAAACTTCACTCAATTTTTGTGTCTTTTTATTTTCTTCTTCCTGTAGATTATTTCGGCGCTTGTGGAATAATTTCAGGCATCAGTCAGAAAGGAGTTTGGGGGGTTTATGTTTGTTCAGCGGGGTGAGGTTGGGACCAGAGGGTAGTTTTTTTTTTCACTGCCTCCTTCTACAACGCACTTCAAATATGTCCAACATTTAAAAATAAATTATTAATGATAACTCTGGATCTATTTGGCCCATCAACATAATTTAAAAACTGTTGTATAGATCGAAGTCCGCACCTTTAACACACTTTAGAACAGATTCTTAGAGAGAGCGTATCTTTCCCACGAGAGTGATTTAAATCAGTCACGTGACAAAGACATGCCGGGGACTCCAGTGGATTAATTGTCATATTAATCCTTATCGAGTAAATACCACAATTAATCGTGATTAATTATTTTTTTTACCATTGCCACCCCGACGTGTGGTTGTTTAGTGTTAGCCTGGCCCTTGCCTTCCTACACAGGTCTGCTCAATCCCTTCACTGCTCCGTCTGGGATTTCTCCAATAGACAAGGATTTCTCTGGTAGAATTTCAACCGGGCCAATCAGCGAACAGAAGGAGGAGCTGTGAACGATGAACGATTTTTTTTTTTTTGTTGACAAGGCTTCCAAATTAAATAAAATTTGTCTCACAAAGCCTGCAGCTCTCATTTACAGCCATCTCGTTCTCCTCTCAGTAGGGGATGGTTGTTTACGGCGCTCGCAATTTCCGGTTTGCTTCTTAGCGACAGTAGTAGCTACATACGTCACGGCCAAACATTAGCGATTGGCTAAATCAGATCCAATCATTTTAAACTTTAATAGAGTCCACACCTCCAGCAAGAAATCGCTTCTGAATAGGCAAGAGTCCAGACCATCTGTATGAAGCAAAGCGTAGAACAAGGGGCTGGTTTTTACCAGGCTAGTTTAGTGTATGAATGTTGTTTTACCCAACTCTTTTGCTAAGTGTTTTGGGTTTGTTTGATTATAGAATACCATTTGTAGTAATCCTTGGTGACTGATGTGTGTCTTTGTGCACAGATTACCAGTCAGATAGTGACAGCTTTAATCCAACTCTGTGGGAGGAGCAGAGACAGCAGAGGATGACTGTGGCCTTTGACTTTGAGGACAAGAAAGACGATGAGGACAACTCTGGGAAAGTTAAGGTCAGTTCTTGCTGTTTTTTTCCCCCACTCATCAATTAAATGGTCCAAAACAAGAGGAGATGTCTTCACTTTCCCTTACTGACTGCATTTTACTCTCTTATTGTTGTAGGTGGAGATAAACTTGAAGCGCTACCCAACCCCCTACCCCGAAGACCTCAAGAACATGGTCAAGTCGGTACAAAGTCTTGTGGGTAAAGGTGTACATCCGGGACACGCGCACCAGCACCAGCTGAGCACAGGCACTGCCACCTCAGCAGGAACCAACATGGAGCATACGCATCTCAGCAAAGAGCCGTATGAACCACCCTGGCCCCTGCCTCCCAAAGAGGTACTAAAAAATGTTTGAAAACAGGCAGTTTAAAGCAGAAATATATTCATTTTTTTATGTCAGGATATTCCAAAACAAGATTTGAGGGTAGGGTCCAAGAGAAGTTTAACAATATGTTTTTCTTATGAGGCTTACACGTCAGTAGCTGCATTTCCATTGCAAATGTGCCCAAAACTTTGTTGATACTCTGTTAATGTCGAAAAAACACAGTTTCGCAATTGCGATGTTTCCATCAAGTAAGAAATGCTGTTAAAGTCACGCGTGAATACTTTTGTTCTCATGATAAGTCATTACAAACATGGCAGCAATGGATGTAAACACATAGCATATTGCTACCACGACACTAGCGCTCATCATCAGCCATCAGAGGAGACGTCGGCATCTTAAGGCTTTCAAGTGACAACACCCTTATACTTGGGAGCGGCTACGGATGCTGCATTTTTGGGAAAATGTAGTCTGTGAGTTTAATACTTTCTTTTACTACTTCTGTGGTTTTACTACTTCTTATACTTCCTGTTGTCTTCTTCTTCGTCGTCTTTTTCACCAGTAGAAACAAACGGTTCTTGATCACGTGACTCCCGTGATGTGAAAAAGGTGTTTCCATTGCAGTTTTGCCAAATACATCAATTTCGATACGGCCGGAATACCACCTCTTCCTAGCACAAAATCATTTTGTCAAAAAACGTAATTTTTTTTAAATCACCGTGTTTCCATTGAGTAAATTTATTTTCGAAATTCTAATTTGCGCATTTTCATGGTCAATGGAAACGCAGTACTGATTATTGAGCTAAAGCACCGCACAACCAATCAGTTGCATTCGTAATCTTTAGTTTGTCTAATTGACAGAAAAATATATTGATTGATTGATTGGTTGATTGATTGATTGATTGATTGATTGATTGATTGATGCCTTTATTATTGTACGGCGCCCAATGACATTACATTCAAGAACACCCATTCAAGAAGACACACACATGACCAAAACATGGGGGAAACAGGTGATCAGGTCATGCGGCAACCAGCAGGGGCCATGCTACCTCTAAAAAGAAAAAAAAACACAAAAGGTTAGATGAGCAATTGATGGGGAAAAGAAATTACCTTTTTCCAGGTGACCGACAGAGAGATGCAGAACTTCTCGCAGTCTCAGCTGATGGATCAGGGATCAATGCACAACTCTGGCATCGACATTCCCAAGAGGAAGGACAAGGAAGATTTGACAGAGAGCTCTGAGGTTTGTCAGATCAAGCAGACACTCACACAGACACACGTGTTACATGTTTTCTGCCTGCAGTACAGATTCACATCAGTATTTATACTTTTTCACCCTACTTGTTTATCACAGGGTTTTCCCAGTCATGAGGATCATGAAGGACAGTTGTTAAATTTAAAAGCTAAAGAAAAATAAAATGTTTTCTGACTTTACACAGGAGGGTTGGGCAGTATTGCCCATTTTCAATTAAAAATAATTTGCCGAAGGTTTAAATCCAAAAGGAGTCCCACTCTTTGCTTGAAGAAGCCCACAGCTGATTGGTCCGTGAAGCTGTCTGCCAGCAATAGTCACAGCTGTCCATCTTTTGGGAGCCAGCGAGGAGTAACATGTCTGAACATGTCTGACTGTCAGTAACAACATGGGGCATCTTCTGAAATATGTGTCTCAGCTTCAAGTCACGTGACTCATACCATTGGGGGTGGCACGTGTCGCCCTGGTCACACCTCTGGCTCCGCCCCTGGGCCTGCTAACTATGTTTAGCAGCTTATGAATGGTTACTGAACTGTGTGTTCATTTGATATAGAAACATTTGTAATTGTAATGAGCCGGAAAAGGGCAGAGTGCCTTCTCCGGGTCATGGGGGTCGTCCTGCCTCAAGTGGAGGAGTTTAAGTATCTGGGGATCTTGTTCACGAATGGGGGAAGAACGGAGCGGGAGATCGACAGGCGGATTGGCGCAGCATCTGCTGTAAAGTGGGCGCTGTACCGGTCCGTCGTGGTGAAGAGAGAGCTGAGTCAGAAAGCGAAGCTCTCGATTTACCGGTCGATCTACGTTCCTACCCTCATCTATGGTCATGAGCTTTGGGTCATGACCGAAAGAACGAGGTCCCGGATACAAGCAGCCGAAATGGGTTTTCTCCACAGGGTGGCTGGGCTCTCCCTTAGAGAGAGGGTGAGAAGCTCGGTCATCCAGGAGGGACTCAGAGTAGAGCCGCTGCTCCTCCACGTCGAGAGGAGACAGTTGAGGTGGCTCAGGCATCTGGTAAGGATGCCTCCTGGACGCCTCCCTGGTGAGGTGTTCCGGGCACGTCCCACAGAGAGGAGGCCCCGAGGAAGACCCAGGACACGCTGGAGGGACTATGTCTCTCGGCTGGCCTGAGAACACCTTGGAGTTCCCCCGGAGGAGCTGGAAGAAGTGGCTGGGGAGAGGGAGGTCTGGGCCTCCCTTCTGAAGCTGCTGCCCCCGCGACCCGACTCCGGATAGGCGGAAGAAAATGGATGGATGGATGTAACTGTAATAACTGGACAGGCAGGCATTTTAAAAACAGTCCACAGTGATCCAATTTTTCTATTTGTAAAACTTGAAGCCTTGTGTCAGCTGCTGTGTGCCAGTTTTAAGCTTCTTCTCTCTTCAGGACTCGATGGGCGGCTCTCCTAATGACATCCGTATTTCTGACATGAGACCCACACTGGTGGAGCCGCCGATGTACAAACCAAAGGTGGTACTGCTGGGAAAGGATAAAAAAGGTAAAGCACTGTATTGTAGCACTGCATGAGTTCATAGAGTCAAACAAACATTTGCATGTGATTCATTGTGCTCTTGTTGAACTATGGGGCCTGTCGTAATAGCAGTTTTTAATTAGTCACATTGGTGGGAAGATTAATTTTAACACTTGACAAACAGAAAGAGAGAATGCATGAAAATCTTAGTAATTGTAAGTTTCTGGTAAAAGCAGTCAAAACTGGTTTTGCTTGTTTTGCCCCGAAGGCTTCAGTTTTATCTGAGGAAAACAAAGCTCATTTTTTGCTCCTAATAAAAAATAATCTATTTAAGCTTTAAATAATTTAGCTGCTTTAATCACATCTTCTGAAAGAAATGGTTTATATCAGTTCCCTGTGACAAACTGTGGCATCAGAAAAGCTTTGCTTTGTTTTTTATTTTCTTTAGGGAACAAAATGAAGTATTTTAACAACATGAACAGATTTTTTTATGGTATTTATAAATTTTTAAGGGCAGCGCTGCTTTGTTACTGTATGAAGGTAATTTAGTTCTTTTATTATTCAATCAAACAAAAAAGTACTGTATTTATTCATGTATAATACTAGAAATTTATCCCTAAAAATCATCCATTAAGTAGGGGGGTCGTATTTTACACGGGTTATTGGGGATTAGATTTTTTATGCTTTTTAAGCTCAAAAAGGATGATCGTATTTTACTTGAGATCGTATTATACACATTATTAAACATATTTATAAAATATAACAAATCAGAAGTTTATTACTGTATTTATTCATGTATAATACTAGAAATTTATCCCTAAAAGTCATCCATAAAGTATAAAATTAGATTTTTATGCTTTGTAAGCTCAAAAAATTATGATCGTATTATACTCGAGATCGTATTATACATGAATAAATACGGTAGTTTGCTGAATGGAAAGATGAAAGAATTAAAT